ATGTATGTATGTGTGTGTATGTAATGCATATGTATAGACAAAAGGAAAGTGGGGCATATCATACGACATACGATCCGTATACCAGATTAATCGCACTGCAGGACTGAGGCTTCAGAACAGTGGTGGGAGCTTGGGGTTCAGGAAAACTGTATCAAGTATCGAATCAAGGAGCTTGCAACAGCAGGCTGCCTACCGAAGAACTACGAAGTCTTGAGCCGCCGGATGCGTTTCATCGCAAACCATCCCAACACCCAAAACCCTAAATCTTAAACCGCTAAATACACTTGGCTGGCACGGCTCAGGTGCAGCTGGATACTTGCCAGCACCGCAGTTGACTCAGTGCCTATGGCTAGCTCGAGAGAGTGAGACAACGAAGGCATCGTAAGCTTATGGCTTAGGAATGCGTTTTGCTGCGACGATATCTCAATTTCAGCACGCGCCTCGCATCCGCAATTGTTGTCGAAGTCCGGCAGTGTTCCCTGCACGGCCGGTCCTCCACTGTTTGGCGCGCACTTTGTGCATCGGCTCATTGTGATGAAGACTTGCACTATTCAGGCCACTCATCCTTTGGAAGCCTTGTGCCGCATATTGTGCCGCGGCGGCATGATGCTGCTTGGAGTGGATGCCATGCATGGTTGCTAAGGTCGCTTGCTGCCGCCACTCCCAGCGTCTTAGCCTCGGTAGCTCACTATATAGACTGATTCATGTGCACTGATTCATGTGCTCTGTTTCTGTCGCGCCAGCGCAAATTTCTTGTGGCTGCGGTCACAAGGGCTGCGATCACGATCGTGACTCTCTTCCTATCTGCTCTAACATACCGCCGCCAGCTTCCTGTGCGAGATCTGGGCTCCCAAACCGATGTGGATGCACGCGCTGTCTCCATCTTAATCTGATTCACCAGGGAAGAATACTACCTCACGCCGCAACACGCGCAAGGAATCTATTGTGACTCACTCTCTGCTCTTCTCCTATGCAAGACCTGGACTCATATTCGACCCTTGGAAGATGGATCGCCTCGAGCCCGCCCCATGAAACTGCAGTCTTTTGTGCCTCAGGTCGACGCCTTCGCGATGGCTGCACCTTTGATTCCGTGCCATAGACGTGCATTGGTATTTTCATAGGGGCCTCGGATATTGCCAATTTGCCGTAGCTTGTGCACGCGAGCATCATCCGATCTAAATAATAACATTATAGCTTTTCAGCTTGTGGGTTTCTGTTCATAGAGTCGACAGACTACGCTCTCAACTCTCAGCCCAAGTTCAGAATTGGTAGTGAGATTCGGCCGGTTTGAGCACGAAGCAAACGAAGCATTGTTGCCGCTTGCAGCTCAGGCGGACACCCGCACCCGCCGCTGCAGCTGTGCCCGAAGCCACGCAGGCGAACCCGACTGGTCTTGCAAGCTCATCACAAGCACTTCGGGGTTTGCCATTTCTGCGGATAGTGGTCGATCTGTCCGAAGTCCCAATGCCGCAGTCGATAGTTTACATGCACACAGACAGACATGCGGACAGAAAAGGCAGGCTGCAGGATGTAAGCAGCCGGCACCGAGAGGGGTTGCTGACACAGGCGGAGACAGGCAAGCAGACAACAAAGAACGCTCTACAGAGCAACCGCACTGATGAGGGTGCACGTGGGTTCCGGTGTTGCTTTTTTTCTGGTTTGCTGTCGTCTGTCTGGTGTCATGGAGTGGAAAACCACTTGATGCATACCGGTATCGACTAGCGTGATTGAAGATGTCTTCTCGCTGATTTGCCAACGTACATACCATGCATCCAGGCATCCAAGCGAAAACGCACACGGTGGCCAGCAGAGACAGAGACACGGATGTAGGTAGGTAATCAGGATGTGCCGATGCATACTCGCACCCACACATTGGCTCGTCTGCAGGGCAGCATTCCTCCCGAAGAGCTTCGGCGCAGGGCCAGGGAGTGGGCTCGAAGCCGAGAAGGAGCGGACGTTGAGATGCTGAGAGAAGCTTTCACTTAGGATGTCCGGCAGTGCAATCATTCTCCTTAGAGGTTGATGCCAAGAGGGCCAGACATGATGCCTGCGACACTCCAACCTAGCAGCCGAGTACGCTCCAGGCTGTGAGGGCTTATTAGCAGGCATGACCCCCTTTAGATGGTCCCAAGTTCTGAGCCTTCGGGATTTCTGAGGGCCGGCTCGTTTAGGCGTTTGGGGCTCAGAGTGTTCAGGTCTTCTGGCTCTTGTAGGGTTTATTTATTTTTCTTGATTTATAATTGGGGCTTGAGGGTCTTTATTTAAAGGCGGCGTAATGACGGGCTCCTTTGGAGTAGGGGCTCTCGAGGGTCTGTTTAGTTTTGTGCAGGGTTTATACGGTTCCTTGAAGGGATCTATAGGGTGACGGTTTTCCAGGGGAACATGCTTCGCTTTCTTCATAAACAAGCCCAAGGGGTTAATGTAGGAATTATGCTTATTATGTCTCTCGAGGGCTCTATCGATCTATATATATATACACACACACATACATACACATATATACATATATACATATATACATATATATATTTATTTATTTATTTATTTAGACAGAGACCGACTAACGACACAGGACCACGGCGTAGCGCTTGCGCGCAGGGGAAGGGGGCCTCCCCCGACCCCAAACGCCTAGCAAGCAAGCAAGCAAGAGCTGTTTAGGTGTTAAAGGCTTCCAGGCTTTATTTAGGATTGTCCCGTTGGTCTAATAGGTCTAGGATGATATAGCTCTCGGGCTGCAGGGGTTTAAGGCGAAGCAGAGCAGCAAAGCCAGCCCCATGCCCCCCAGCCCCAAGTGAAAGAGGTACCGGTACTCACTAAATTGCCTTCCTGGAAAGGACCAACCGTCCGTAAATCCCCAACTGCTCGATTAGACTGGTAACCTAAACCCGAGAAAACAGCCCTAAACCAACAACTTCTATGGTGGAGGAAGCCACAGTTCTCCTGGACTCCGAGTATCGAGTTATACAAGACTGACTCAGGTCAACAGGATCGTCCCGGACGTGGATGACGAGATAGCTGACACTCCTGAGTTCCTTGGCCGCACCAAAAGCGCTCGTGATGGGCGGAGCTGCTAGGGAGGATAAGCTGAGCACGTGGCCACTTCATCCCGGATGGCTCTCATTCCTGATCTCGTCACGGAGTTGCAATGTAGTCAGACCTTCTCAGAACTTCAGCTCCACCTCTTGGGGAAATCTTGGCAGTGCAAAGCACCCTTGCCCCCATCGTGTTGTCCATGCAACGCATGCAACATGGTCACACACAAGCCAAGCTCCAGCGCCAAGAAGCTTGCAACATGCTGAAACAAGTGCCTTTGCAGAGAGTCCAGGAGTCCCATACCACGTCCATGGATGCTTACCATCTTCAGGGCCAGCTGTTGGCAGAAAGTTTCCGTCAAGAGACGGTTGGGTGCCAGGTCACCGAGATCCCTTGCGTCACGAAGTGCGCAGTTCTCCGATGGGTCGTCGCACGGCTGCCAGCTAGCCATACCGTTTTGTGCATCTGGTCTACTCTTGAAGTAGCCGGTGGTAGTGGTGATGGTAGTGTTGGTCGTCGTCGTTAGTAGTCGTACCAGTAGTCGTCGTAGCACAGTGCAGGAGCGAAGTGTTAGAAACGTTAGGCCCGCCAAATAACCTGCCCATATGCGCCCAAAGCCGCTTAGTCATATACAAATTTCAGACGTGAGATCGCCCCTTGAAGGCAGCGAACATTGTAGAGGCGAACAGCTGCCAGTATTCAGCCAGGGGTCTGTCAAAATTCCGTTTCAGTAGAGTGTGGAACTGCAGATGGGTGTCACATCGGCCCCGCCTCAAGCACGCATGATGGCCTGATCGAACCATTGGCGAACTTCGGGGTTGCCGGCTGCCTGCCTGGGTAGCAGCAGCTACATTCTCCAAGGCTGGTGCTGCCTGCAAAAGGACGGAGACAAAAAGCCAGCTTTGAGGCGCCGCTCCCATGGCTTGGCATGATTCTCCAGGTAGCAGTGCAAGATCAGTAGCAGCAGCAGAGCCTTCCCAGAGCCCGCGAAGATGTCCGAGCTCAAAGCTAGAGGCAACCACAGCCGCTGGGCCAAGGGTGTTTTATATGAGTTTAGTGTCCAAGCACAACGCCCAGCAACATATGTCCTTGGCCGAAGCTCATGCTGAGACCTCCGTGCCAACGCCTCTTGTTAACCCGAGAGGTCTGGGATTCAGATGAGGAGGGCGCTGGACTCAGTGCAGTTTGGCAAGCCTGCGCTCCTGCTATGCCCGAAATCCTGGGCCGTCTCAGCAACTAGCACAGGCCCAGTCAACACGATTCATCCTACATTCCGGGGTGGTCAAGCCAAGATCAATTGAAGTTGTGACCGCAACACTGTCAGTTTGTGATTGGGTGCTGGGTGAGAGGACTTGCAGCTTTGGTAACTTTGGTAGCGATTGGCCGGGCTTGGTAGCTGGGCCGCTTGTGTGTGTTCTTGCAAACCTCCTGTGCCTCTTGAAAAGAATAGCGCTGAGAACTTGCCTGATTTAGTCGGGCAAATTTCCAAGACTTCAGGCTTGAAGTCCAGGTCACGATTTCATAGGCTTAGCTCCCAAGCAAGGCGCCGAGCCAAAATCGAGCTCAGTTCAACATCCTAGACTCTGAGCCATAAACCGTACATGAAACGTCAAGCAGGAAGCATCAAAGCTTGGCGGCTTGGGGGTATCATTAACTCGCTGTGAAAAGTCCACACCAAGCTTACTCGTAGATGTCAGTCTGGTTCCAGCTACATGGTTTCAGTGTGGTCGAAGCGAAGATAGTAGCAATGCTCGTTGCATGATTTGAAGTTGCAATGATAGAAACGAACTGGCAATGAAAGCAATATGCAGTTGCACAGCCTTTATTGCAAGCTCTTCGAAAGCTGTGAATGTAAATTCTCCACTCACCGTTCCCTTGCGGGGCCAGCCTCTGCATGTGCTTGTCTTTGGTGCCGTGCCCTCCATTGCAGAGCCATCCTCTGCGTGTCCTTGTTTCTTTAGCATCACACACTCCATTGCAGATCCATGCTCCGCTGCAGAGCCATCCTATGCCCGTCTTTGTACGTTTGGCGCCGGGGTGGTACAGCCACCCCATCATTTCAAGGCATTCCCAGCCGGATGCCAGGCCTCCTTCGTCGTTTGCAGCCAAGGCTTGTGCGACGCCCACAACTGCGAGCGAGCGCGGTTGGGCCGCCGAAGCCGCCGCCGCCGAAGAGCTCGAGCGTAGTTTCTTACCGCTGTCGGCACCGACCCAGAGCCCACCAAGAACAACGCCATAGAGGCCTGGATACAATGGTTTACGACTTTGGGGTTCCACGGCAGAGCCATGGCTTTGCGTGTCCTGGCACTACAACACGCTCCTTTGCAGAGCAATCCTTCAAGTGTCGCTGTATCCTTGGCACCACACGCTCCATTGCAGAGCCATCCTCTGCGTGTCTCTGTACCCAGTTTAGTCCATTTTCTGGTCGCAGCCCCAGATCCTAAGAGGCTTGACACGACGAAGGTTGGAGATCGGAGTATGGGTCTTTGTGCAGTCTCTGCCGTCTCGTCAAAGCCTAAACTTGAACTTTAAATCCGGCCCAAGGCCCCTAGACCCTCAGCCTCAACCCTAAGCCCCAAACTCTGACCTCGGACCCTGAACCCCAAGTCAGGCGTCGCCACGCGCACGCGCGTGGAGGCGCAACCTGAAGCTGGTGCTGGCGGGCTGGGCTCTCGGAGGGGTTTGGGCCGCTCTGGGGTTCTATTGGGATTCTATAGGGGGTTTTACATACGGGTTCTGTGAAGGTTGCTGTAGAGACTCAACATAGGTAAGTTAGCGTCTGAAACATGAGTAGGAGCATTCTTGCGTAGATGATCCCTAGATGTCCCTAGGCAACGGTGTTCAGAACAATGAAATGCAGGAGTTTGGAGATGCTCGGATAAAACGTGTTGTATGTGATTAGATGTACATATACACATATGTGTGTATACCGATTTATGTGTGCAGGTTTGCATGCATGCTAGCATGCACATAGCTACAGTAATTATTCTGACTGCATGGAAAAACACCCGTCGGCGCTTTCACGAAATGTCGCGAGCAGAGGCGTTTGAATGAGGACCTGTAAATCTCATCCGGCAGGACGAAAGATAAGCTTTCCAAGAATACTCGTAGTCAAGTGCACCAGAACATGTCATGATGCTCCTACATGTGCATGTCTAAAGGGATGTGTGTGCGTGTGTGTGTGTGTGGGTGGGTGTGTGTGTGTGTGTGTGCGTGGGTGTGTGTGCGTGGGTGTGTGTGTGTGGGTGTGTGTGCGTGGGTGTGTGTGTG